CAGAAATCACATGAGCTATGACTTAGAAAACTCTGTTATTTGGTTTTTAGCATGCAGGATATACTTAATCACTTGGGTGATATGGTTTAGGGGTGAGCTTGTAGTGCAGGGTTAATGGCTGGACCCGATGATCCCAAGGGTCTTTTCCAACCTGAATTGTTCTGTGATTCTATGATTCTAATCCCTAAAATTAGTCACATGCAAACCATATTTGGGAGTAGATAAATGCTGGTGAATATTTATCAAACTCCTTAAGGTGCTCAAGAGGAATAAACTTGAAATGATTCGTGTCCTCTCATTAGTTTAGATCATCATCTCTGTGCATTTTCATGCTTATCCAAAGTCCTGATTCTCACCCCAGGGTGAAGTTTGGTTCCAGTGGTGGTTATCATGCAGCTCTGCACAGCACTTTTTGACGACAAGCTACTGTCTAGCCAAATGGCCATGTTTTCCTTTGGTGGACAAAATAGCAGTGGCTTGGTCTTCAAGAGGTAATAAATCCCATGGCACTCGACAGCCGGAGCATATAGAGACAGCATGTCCTACCTGCTCCCAGCGTCCTACCCACAGCAATCTGACAGGGCCCTCCCTGGAAGATTGCCAGCACTGTCTTTAGCAAGGTCACTTCTTCTTTGCTGAGGCTTTGGCATTCCCACCAGCCTTCCCATTAGTTTTGTTGCCTCCTCCTGATTTTCCTGCTCCATCTTCTTTTTTACCTTTCTTCCCACCACCTTGTTTCTTGTCAGTACTGTCCTTTCCCCCCTTTTCTCCTTTTTCTCCTTTTTCTCCTTTTTCTGCCTTTTCTCCCTTTTGTCCTTCTTTCTTTTTGGCCCCATCTTTCCCTTCTTTCTTGGATTCTTCCTTCTGGTCCTTTTCTCCATCCTTCTTCTTCTTGGAGCCTTTAGATCCGTCTTTTTTACCCTGAGCCTTGTCCACTTTTCCAGATACAGTGGGAACTTCTTCTTTTTTTTCTTCTGCAACTTGAGCTGTATGCAAGGATGGAAAAAGAAAAGAGGACAGCAGTTACCTTGGGTTGACACTAGCCAGGAAAACAGCAAAACTCCTGCTCCCTGCTGGCAAATCTTGGACAAGGGCAAAATACTTCTACTGGGGCTTTGTCCACACAAGTTTTGCTCATTGACGCAGCTTTTTATGTCTTTGTTTTGAGAAGATAGACCCACGGGACAAAGTAGAACTTGTAAGTTTGAGATCTATTGGGGGGAAGTTACTCCTATTGGCAAGAACTGATCCATGAACATTACAAGCCCAGTCCATAAGCTTTATCCAATAATTACATTCAACATGGAGTTGTCTCCTTCCACAAGAAGGAACAGAAACATCTCTCACACAGTTCATTACAGACATGTCTTGGGTTTGGCTGTGCTTTCTTTTTCGGTTGGTTGGCTTTTCTAATTCTTTGTGTACGGGGTATGTCTCCTGAGGCTGTGAGTGGACAGTAGGGATTCTGTTGGGGATCTTTGCTTTCAGAGAGAGACAAGAAGACAGCTTGACCAGCACAAGCTTATGTCCTGTCCCCATCCAGTCACCATGGGACTGGCTTCCCACCTGTACCACTGTGATTAGTGGCAGCAGCATACCATGGGCATAAAGCATTTATCTCTAATGCATAGTTAGCTCTATTTGTTTTCTTTTTAAAAAGCCATATTACTTATAGAAAGCTTATAATCTCCTTGCTTAGGGAAAATTTTTACTGAATATTGGATACAGTGCCCACATTTCAGGTGAGAAAACTCAGAAGCATCCCACTGGCTCTTCAGACTTTATTCTGACAGAAAATTTGGTGGCAGAAAACTTCTCCTCATCTTTCTTACTTTCCTTCTACTACAAGTGGCTCGCTTCCTCAAAGGTATTTCTGAAGTCAGAACTTGATGCAATGAGCTCGCATCTCAATCAGCAACTTGACACTTAAACAAAGATAACATTTCATATATTTCATATATGAGGTATATTTCTTGCGGAAAGTTTTCCCTTTGCTCAAGACCAGCAGAGTATAAATCTTTGCAAAAACAACTGAAACTGTGTTAAGTTTTCCATCACCTCCTTCTCTGAAAATCCCTCATATAGGACTCAGATATTTAAATAAATAAATATATTATCACAACTTCATAATTCAAATCAGCCAAGGTGAAGCAACGACCTGGGAGTGGCCTCAGAAAGTGGAGGGTCATCAAACACTCTTTAGTTTTCTTCAGCTGGCACCTCAGTTAAGTCAAATTATTTCATGCTTGTCACAGGCTGAGGAAAGATGACAGTGAACTGGTTTAGGAGGCAATTTGATATGTGCCTTTGGTGAGATGTCTCAACCCTTGCCTGGAGCCTTTGGACTACAATCCATTCAAGTTCCTCCAAATCTCTCCTTGCTAAAGATGTCTATAGTATGACTTTCAAATGGCAGCAATGTATTACGGGTGTGAATCCAACCTGAATTTGTTGCATTTGCTACAATATTCCTCCAGCGTGCATGCTATAATAAAATATGTCCTTTGACCTGGGGAACTGGCAATTCACTTGTACGTACAAATGGGAGTAGAGTAATACAGACTCTTTCTTGCAACCTCAGGGGAAAACCTGACATCTGATATAAAAAAAAAGAGGGGAAAGACTAAAAAAATAATCATTAAAAAAACCCCAAAACAACAAAGCCCAAGCCACCACAAGACCACATTGTCTCCTTCCTGGACAAATATGGCAGAAACCAGGTGAATTCTCAAAAATGTCAGCTGGAGCAGCTTCAGATCAGAATACTGGAAGATCTCCCAGGCCATGGACCCAGACAGTATATCTCCACCCAGAGCAAAGGCCAAGTCCTGCTTGTAGTGGGAGGCAGAGCACAAATGAATCAATTTGAATGTAACATTTTATACACTGAACCCTAGAGTCCGTTTTATTTATGTCCAGTAAAAGGGCTTGCCATATATGACACTCAGAAAAGTGCATGGAGTGCTACTTGGCAATTAGAATATGCCACCACAGTAAATGTGAAGAAGGGTAAAATAATGCCAAGAAATGAGATTATTTAAGCATAGTAATACATTAATGATTAATAGCATTTGACACATACAGAAATCTTTGATGCATTTAACGGCCACCCAGTAATTAAAATCATTCGAGTCATCTCTCTGGCCTCAGTTGGGTCTACCAAGGGTTGTCCCAGTGTAAGTATATAAATTGTCGACAAATATATACATCACATTTCATGACCGCATAAATCAGGGTGGCAGAGCATCACACACTGCACAAATGAAAACAGGAGCACAGCGGTGAAGCCCAAAGGTTTATGTACTTTGGGGACTAATCTCACGAGGAGGGCAAACCAGTGGGTTTGATCACACGTAGCTTTTACACCAAACAGTTTAGGCTCTGATCGCCGAGTCAGTCCTTTTGGGTCCCCAAAGCTGGACACACAGAGGCAATTTTAAGGCACAATTTACCTTTTCCACTTCAGCACCTCCCTTACTGCAAAAGGAATCACATCCTTTTTATTTTCCACCATGGCTAAAAAGATAAAGTCTAGACAACTCGTGCTGATGCAGACTTCTCCATAGATGTGGATAACTTGTGGATAGATGACTCCTTCCCCGGTACTGGTTCCTTCAGGGTAACTTAGACAGATTTATATCTACCTAGTGCCACAGGACTAGGAGCCTCAGAGAAATCTTGTTCATGAGCCATTACCAGGTACCAGCAGTCATTCAGCAATGTTACTCATCAGTCTTTTACCCTGTGCCATGCTAGGACCATAACTTGTTCATGAGCCATTACCAGGTATCAGCAGTCATTCAGCAATGTTACTCACTAGTCTTTTACCCTGTGCCATGCTAGGACCATAATTCTGGGATTCTCAAAGGTCCAAGGATGGTCAGCTACTCAACTTATACATTTAACTGGATAAAAGTTTAAGTAGTCTTTATGGTGCTGCTGACTTCCTATAAATTGCTTTCTTGCAGTGACTTATTCATGAATTCATGCTGCAATAATTTACCATGGCCTGATTAAAACTACACCAGAATAGTCAGGCTTTGGGTGAAGTACATGTACATGTTAGTGGGATATAAAGGCTGCCTAGAGGAAATCAAAATTTATTAGCATTCTAAGGTGAAACTGCCATTCTGCTGCCCAAATGCCCTTTCTGTCTCTTCCGGATATTCTGATCCTTAATTTGCTGGTTTTCCAGAAGTAACAGACAGTCAAGAAGAGGATGCAGCAGCAAATGAGATAATTTGTCTTTCTGCTATCTACAGGCATGATCCTTCCCCCGCTCTGGGATCTCCTGGTCGCTGATCTTTACAGAGTCAGAATTTGGTCATCTGGGCAGGAAATAGAAGGAAAAAAATATGAAGCACTTGCATGAGTGATTGCTTATACATGCAAGAGTGCATTAACTAGACCATTGAATGATCTTTGACCCTGAAGTAGGTTAAGAGAATTTAGCTGTATGGACCAGGGTTTATTCATGGCAACTGGGTTCAGCTTCAGAGAGTGGCCTGTTCATTCTCAGATTATAATATATAGAACCATAGAATGGGCTAAGCTGGAAGGGACCTTAGAGATCATTTTAATCCAGCCTCCCTGCCACCAGGGACACCATCTGTCGCCTAGATCCACAAACACATGGGGACCGAATGGAAATAGTCAGATGTCTGAACCCTTCCGAAATATTGAGGTATGTGCAAGTTCCTACTCTTAAGTACTTAGTTCTGTATTTTGCTGGTATAATTTTTACAATTAGGTTATCTGCCTTTTCCGCCAGTTTCATGGACTGAAGCATCACATTCTGAGTTAAGGAAACTTTCAGTTTCTATGAAACTATAGACAACAGGCTTGCAGAGACACAGGAAAGAGAAAAAAAAAGTTCATGAAAGGGTATTGAGAAAACAGAGGCCAAATGCAGAAAGGGAACCGGGAAGCAGGGAGTCCAAGGTATGATGGATCTCATCAGAAAAGAGAAGCCATAGAGAGACAGACAGGAAGGCAGTCCCCTAATTTCCTTGCAGGGCCATTTCATCTTCTTCTTTCACCACAGGCAGGGAGTTGAGAGGTCGGGACTGGACATGACCAGAGAGAGTTAGGAGAGTTTCAGTAGAGCCTAGGGTACAGAATCAGGAAAGATGAGTGAGAGCAGCAGAGAGCAGCGACAGAAATATTTTTGGCCATCCAAATAGGGCAAGCCATTTACAAGTAATGTGAAACTCTAACAGCTCTTCTTCATCCTACTCACATCCCCCAACCCAGGAACTGGCCCTTAAAATGAATCAGACTCCCTGGAAATTATAAACATGAACTTTGAAGGAATGACCCTGACTTGTACCAACAGAGGAACTGTCCCTTTCATTGGAATGACCATCCCTGCTGCCAAAAATGCTGCAGGTTTAGTGCGTGTCGTGTGATGGGGAGGGGTTTGTCAAGTCACAGCAATATCTCAATGGTTGTGCCCAAGGAGCCACACTGATTTACACTAAGGGAGGCCCTAGCCCTTGGCATTCAAACATACAGAAAGCAACCCCAAAAGAAAAGATGGGTCTCATGTGTAGGTGTGGCCTTGAAAAGTACCTCCAGGGATCTCTGTCAGCTCGTTGAGTGGGGGGACAGTATCCAGTTTGTCTGCATATGTCTTGGCAGCTTGCCGTTGAGCATATCGTGCCTCAATCTCTTTCTTTGTCCGGGGAATCCGGCACTTGAAGATACAGCACAGCGTGATAACTGAGAAAAGAGAAAACAAAGCAAGAGCATTCAGTTTATTCAACAGATCTTTTTCTAGTACTGACTGGCACGTTTATGGTGGGGAGACAGCAGGAAGGAAAATTAATTTCAGAAAAGTTTCTTCCAGTGGGAACCTGTAGCCGTTTACATCAGTGGAAGTCCTTGCCTGAGGGATATGGTCATGCAGTCTAAAGCAATTGAGCTACCTGAAAATAAAAAATTATCACTCTTGAGGTGAGCTGTAGCAAAGGACTGACCATGACCTTCCCAAACAAACCACTGTAAACCATTGCCTTAAACCATATATGCCACCAGTGTTTCTAAGCATCAAAGCATTAACAAACAAAATTCATTATCTCTTCAGAAACAATAGCAGCAATTAGGATGTACTGTCACCCTTCAACAGTTCCTGACATGACAACACGTCTCAGCAATTCATTTTTGTGGTAGCTAGATGCTGGATTGTGAACCTCTAGCTTCAGAAAGCAATGAGGACTTTGGCATAGAAACACCGTGAAACCTCCAAAATAGATCTAGAACAAGAGATCAATATATGCCTTGATTGACTTTCATCCAAATCCATTTAGGACAGGCCAGGAACATAATTCTCCTAAAGCTTCCCCTCCCTTACTGTTCCATCATTCTTCTTTCCAGCAGAGAGGCTTCTTTACATGTCTTAAGGATGCAGATGGTGTTTTTATTCCTAGTAAGATATATTTTCCCTTCATGCTTATACCTATACATTATTTCAGAATTTCCATCTGCAAATCTAATAACTGTTGAGACAATTAATTGTAATTAAATCACTTTTGGTTGGATTCCTAGTCCAGGAATTCACAGGATGAGCGGGTGATTGGCTCACTCACGTATCACTTCTGACAACTGCAAAGCAGAAGAGAGCAGATCCATGAAACTCAGAAATAGGTAATCAAAAAATTAGTTGTCCCACAGGTCATAAACACATCTCAAGAAGTACGACATCGCATGCTCTCTATGAACTTTTGAGTTGTTTTTTTTCTGGGCATATTTAAAATATTTTGAGGGATTCATCTGTTCTAAACAGAAGCTCAACTTTCCAACCTACCAAGATCTCAACTTCATTTACACACTTTATGGAAATGGATTCTGCAAGCAGGCAGAGCCCTGTGCTTGGAAAGATGTTGTGTGATCATTTTTAACAGGCTCTGTCTCTTATGTTAACTGGAGTTCCCCCACACCTCATCAACGCTACGAGAAAGGAGCAAGCATCCAACTTTCTGTACACTTCAAAAGTCAGGTAATTCCTCTGGCTTTATACCACCACGAGCAACATGTTAGACCTTTGAGGCTAATCTAAGGAGATGAGAGAAATAATCTATAGGTTTGGTTTCAAGTGTGAGCATTTCTCACTAGCCAGGAGTAAGACCATTTCACAGACAGTCTTCACAACACAAGGACACACACCACTTGCTGGTGTAAATTTTACACCCCAGAAGTTTGTCCTGGACCTCCAACCTCTCCTATGTTAAGAGGGATCACATGAACCAAAAATAAGCTCTACATTTCACAAAAGAGGAGAGAGAAGTAGTAAAACACCTTTCTTGGTGTTTTGAGGTGGGTGTAAAATTACCAAGCAAAGTGTAGCAGCTCCTCTACCCCTTTGCTGAATTTTGCTGCCAAAAATATCACTCCCCTTAAACAATTTGCTGCGGAGGTGTTGCAGCGGGATCGCACTCTGGGCCATCAAAATGTCACAACAGGATGGGACAATTGGAGCTGCAGTGAATTGCCTGAAACAATTGTAATAACCTGTAATTAGGGAAGCAATAAAGATGCTTTTATCCTTGCTCTTCCATGAGGGTCAGCAACAAGCTGAGGATAACTGAGCTTTCATTTGTCTCAAAAAAGCAAGGCAAGGTACCCATATGGTGTTATTGACAGCACAACATCGACAGCTTGCAAGTGGGTAAAGCAGAACATCTGGAAAGCACACAGCTGGGTCTGCCCTGCCCCCAGAGCTTGCTGCAGCTACGTGGCAGCCAGTGGATGGCACAGATGTCCTCAGGCTGGCAGATAAAAAAATACCCAGTAGCTAAGCAAGGACTCAAGGCAAGGTCAGACTAGACCTAAGTATGCATTTTTAACAGCGACAGCAAGCAAGAAAACAATTTACTGGGAGGAATGGGATATGTGATTTTTTTCTCTAATCATTTTTAAATCAAGATCTATTGTTTTCCTAAAAGCCCTCTCAAATCCAGCAAAGCCAGAAAACCTTCTACTTACATTTGAGGAAAAAAAAATTGCCAGGAAAATTAGCATCGTATTTCCTGGGGAACTGATAAACCATGAGACTTTCAGTTTTCAAGTGAATCACAGAGACACTAGTCAGTGCCCTTGAAAGCCAAGGACAAAACACCTCCAATATCACAGTAGTTGGCTTAGCCCTGTAGAAAGGAGCAGGAGTTGTTCTATATTTCACAGCTCTACTTCAACTCTAAGGACAAAGATGGTAGCTGTTATGTGTCTCTCTGTTTAACTTTCTAATGGAGATGAAGTGTTACACCTGGGTATTGGAGGCTTTTATTGTCTTGGGATATGAAATGATTCATAACCAGCCACCAGAGCAAGAGACTTCTGTAAAAATAACGCTATTCCTATCTCTATCCCACTTGCAAGGGATGCTCAGTGTGAGGTTCAAGCCATGCAGGGGGCTAAGTACTGGGCTGAATGCCAGTATCTTTTTAAAAGAATAGGACAGTGAATGAGATTTTGGCACTGGAGCTTTAAGACTCTGAAGCTGATGCCAGGAATGATCATTTCCTTGCCAGTGGGAAGTTATTGCCTATTGGATATCTTTGTTTTTCCCTTCAAGTCAGACACAGGAGACAGAGTGGGTGGAATTCATCCGCTCTGGTTTGTGTGTCCCAAAGAGATTACAGTCTCAGACAGTCACCCCAGGCTCCCTCTACCACTAGTGGAGAGAAAGAAGCATCTCAAAAGGGCGATGAGTCTCATTTTAAGATAGAAATGTAAGCTATGACAAATAGTCCATTCTCCGCAGCCCACTTTCTCTCTGTTAACTACAAAAAGAGCTTTGAGTGGCCCATTTGGCACAGGACTCTAGAAGAGCTGTGACCTCCTGGAATGAGAGACAGAGGCTGGACAATATGCTCTAGGGCTTCCCAAATGACACCAGAGATCTACATTTATAGGTGTTCCCTCAGTTAGAAGAGGTGAATCTTCTCTAACTTCTTCAGAAGTTAAGAGTGAAATGTCGGTTGCATATTACAAGTTTGGAGCTATCTTAAAATCACTTCTGTTGTGCCTGGTAGATTTTTTTTTTCCTGCTTCAAATTGATGAGATTATACTTCCTCCATTGATAATTTCTCCAGCAAGGGAACAAGAAAGGGATGTAACCTCTACTATTTCTTGGGATTTTTTGATGTCAAGCTTAATATTATTTTCCACTGGAAAAGTAGAGTTCTTTCTCATTCTGAAGAAAACGTGAGAAACTGAACATGCTGTAAGGGTCCTGAGAGCATCTTCACCACCATTACCCCTTCTAGGGTTTGGCTGCCTGGGTTCAGGGCCAGATTAGAAGTAATGCAGCTGGTGGCCTTCAAAGGAGGAGGCAGAAGAATCAGAGAATCACAGAATTATAGAGGCTGGAAAAGA